ATTCTGTGATTCTGTGATTCCTGTGAGGAAAGGCCAAGGAATGGGGTTTGCTCAGCCTAGAGAAGATAAGGCTTTGGGGTGACCTCATTGCAGCTGCCCTGTGCCTGAAGGGAGCCTGCAAGAAAGATGGACAGAGACTATTTGCAAGAGCATGTTGTAACAGAACAAGGGGGGATGGTTTGAAACTGAGAGTAACTTCAGATTAGATAGTAGGAAAAATTTTTTTACTCTGAAGGTGATGAGGCACAGGAAYAGGCTGCCCAGAGAAGTTGTGGATGCCCCATCCCTGAAAGCTGCCCTATCCAAGACAAAGCTTTGAGCAACCTGATCTAGTGGAAGGTGTCCCTGCTATGGCTGTAAGGCTGAAACTACATGATCTTTAAAGTCCCTTTCAACACATCCCATTCTAGGATTCTGTGACTGTGATTGTGTGGGGCAGGGGAGAATAACATGGATTACGCAAAAGAATTTATCACCTGGGTCAGAAAAAAATAGTATCTCTTTAATTTAAGACATATTCAAAATAGCTTTAAAATATTTTTTTTCAGGTGTGTATGTCACTGGGAGTTTTTGTTTTGAAAGTCAAACCATGTGTTTGGTTCCTTATATGGCTGTAGCCTGTCAGCTTCAAGCAGTATTTCCCAAAAGGTCTTGGCTCAGGAGGTCAAAGGAACTGYATTATTAGAGTATTTTATGTAAGTTTTTTTCTCCTTTAAATAATCTTATGCAGCAGTCTGCATTGTCTGAAATCAGTGTCTCGGTGTATTCCATTGAGTGTCAAAATGCAGGTAATATTTGAGTTACAAATAATATTGTGCAATACTGTGTATTTTTCTCAATAATGAAATTAAAAGATATTATGAGACCCCTGGAATTATTTGTATAAGCAATTTCTCCTAAATTTGGGACTCTGCTATCTGATAGTAGCATACGTTCATCATGTTYCATGTAGGTGCTAGCCAATACTGAGATCTCAATGTTGTTGATACTTGTGAAAATTGGATTTTGTACCTGAGACACTGAGTGACTCTGTCTTCTAGCCACTAAACTGTGCCTCAGAAATGCACTACTAATACAAGTAGTGTCTTGCAAAACTCACAGTAACAAACTTTGTTTAGCTTAAAAACCTGACATTGGAGAAGCTTGCACCATCTTCAAAAGCTGGGTGGGAGGAAAACACCATTTCCAAGCAATGAGGATCCATCCACGAGAAATCTGGGGTTTCAGCAGGCCTCAATCACTCTTCTGCCCCTTGGGAGTGCCAGCAATCAGTCCTGGGCTTGAGCAGACAGATTTCAGCCTGGTATCGCGTTTCCAACTTTGGCATGTGTGTCCTTGCAGCTGCCAAACCAGCAGAGAGGGTGTGTGTAGGTGGGCGAGCAGTTAAAGGTGTTGCTTCAGATCCAGCAAAGTCCTATGTGCTTTCTGCCAGCAATAACAGCATGGATTGCTGTAAATTACTTTTCAGGTTTAGTTTGTATTGTTTATGGTGTAACCAGCCAAGACAACATATGGTGTGCATCCCTGAAGTGCAGACGAGCACAGAGAAACGTGCAGAGAGAAAACTGCGAGAGGACTAATGAATTCTTACTTTTGCCACTAAGTATTTGCTCCTGGGAGGAAAAGAGCCAAGAAGAGCATACACAGGATGCGGTATGGTTAGCTCAGTCCTACCACAAGCTACTCRGTTTTCAAAATTTCCTTTTGAGAGTTTTGTTTAAAGTGCCTGTTCACATGACTCATTCATTAGTCTGTGAAGCTGTGGGGCCCATTTTGCTCTCGCCGCTCTAAGCATTGGATGAGACTCTGGGAACTGATTTTTTTCCACCCTACTCTTATGTGACTAAAATTCTTATGTTTGTGGAATCAGCCTAGGGCTATGGAGTATCATAGAAAAATTACTTCTTTATAGTGCATGTGTCTGAAAAACTGTTATAGCTGCAGTTCGGGCAACACGGCTGTCTACACGCCATATGGTGCGGGAGGCAAGAATGTAACCAATACTTTTCAGTYCACATTGTGCAGAGCTCCCTCTGCCCCTCTTGCTCTCAGAGCCAGGCTGAGTTTCTGTGCTCTGCTTTCTGGGGTCTCATTCGAGTCACAGGAGAGCCAGCAGGGCTGACTGAGCTGATGGTTTCACAGGCCCTGCAGCAGCCATTGTTTCTCCWGCAGTTTGCTCTGCCACGGGAACATTTGGGGCTTTTGGTAGACAGGAGGCAAATGTGTAATCTGAGGATAACAGGCATGCTGCTATTGCCCCAGCTGGCAAAATGCCTGCATTTCGTGTCTGGGAATATGCCAGGATTTGTACTCACCCTGGGAAAAAAAAGGAAAAAAGGCAAGAGAGAGAAAGAAAAGTGTGTGCTGTCTCAGATCTCACTCAACCCATAAATATTTTTCTTTTTAACTCTTTGAATAGATGTTGGTTGCCAAGGACAGAAGCCCTATGGAAAAAGGAACAATTAAGGGAACAGGCACAGCTTAGCTCTATGTTTCCAAAGCCACTGGGATTCAGATGATCAGATCATGATGCAGTGTCAGTCACACATGACAGTGTGTGAGGAAGTAGGTCTACATGGATGCCTTTCCAGAGAGAACTTCTGTTCTGCTCTCTGTGCAGCTACGATGATTGCACCAAGGAAGGTGTTTGGGGGCAAAGTGGCTTCTCTGCTCCCTAAGCCAGGTTATCAAAAGCACTCAGAAATGCATGCCCAGAAATCTTGTGACTGCCCCTTTAGATCAATAAATAATAACTGTATGGGAAATAATAGCTCCACCAGGAGGTATGAAGAGAGCCCCATCTCGGAAATCTTTATAATCTGCTGGTGAAATATTCTCCCTGAAGGCACAGTTTGAGATCTTGAGTAGCCACAGAAGCTGGACTTGATTGCTTACCTCCTTGGTAAGTGCTGTAACTGCTGGACCACGAGGTGCAGAAGAGCAGTGATTCTCCTCCTTATGTTTCTCCTCAGTGCTATAAAAATACATAAGGAATTCAGAAGTTTGGGGGGTTGGTTTGTTWGTTTGTTATGTCAGGAAAAATGTACAGAGTAAAATGTATCTACATTCTGTTTGGTATATATCTGTATTCTGCTTGGTTAACTCACCATAGAAATAGGAGAACTGTATGGTTAAGTTTTGAGCCTGGGTAGTCTCATCGAGGCAAGGAGCTGCTCAGTGCTATGAGAAACAYCCTGTAACAAAACTGGATTGCCTGGGAAGATTTCCTGGAGAAACATTTAGTATCTCCCGGGAGAAACAGCAGCAGCTGGATCTGGTTTTGAAGGTCTACGTTAAGACCCTATGCATCTACAGCAAAATGTGTTGAATCTTGGAAAGCTATTTCTTTTATAAATTCTGGTTCCACTAGCAGGAATTCTAAAAGCTGTCATTTTGTCAGCAAAAAGCTGTAAGAGACAACAATTATCCCCTATTATGCAGAGCGCTGTAGCTATTTGTTATCTTACATGCAGTGAGTGCAAAATCCACCCAGCCCCTAAACCTTGCAGKTTTTTATTTTCTTGAGATGTGTTCAAACTATTTTTAAAAGGCATGAGCTGGCAAGAGGTATCAAGTACACAGGACTTCTGGGCATTTATCACTTGTTAATTATGCTAATACYGTTAACATCTAATCTAAYRTAAGTCTTTRAATTTTTTTYCAGAGATWTAAARTTGGCAGGGACTAGGATGAAAAGGAAATTATTTTCAGAACCTTATTTCCAAAAGCAACAGTACACTTAAGTGTGTCTTCTTCACCTTCCTCCCTTTCTGTCTTCCGCTCTCAGTGTAACCACTACATCTGTCATTCGGAAAAATGTTATATTCATTTACTTGATGTAAGCACAATTTGGACTCAGTTTTGAAAACTATTCAAACTGCTAACATTTTACTCTTCCTATGGAAGGTGATTGTCATTAGGTGTCCTGTCTTCTAAAAAGATGGTAAGAGAAAAGGCTGAAACAGAGGATTGGGWGTTATTCCACTAAATGGTTTTCCTTTACTATCAGTGCTGAATTGCTAATGGAATATAAAATGTTAGGCTGATCACTGCCTACAATCACGCAAGCCTTACTGAAGAGTGAGATGACACTTATGGCACAAGAGTGGCCAAGAAAAGATCGAAAATATAATGACAACAAAGACCCACATGTAACACATGTTCATGCTATTTAAATAAAAACATTTCTTAAGTTGTAATTTGCTTGAAAACTTTGTTACAGTGTATCAATAACTGATTTTGTCAACATGTATTGGTAGAACATCATGACAACTTTTTAACACAGATGAATTTTAAATGCTTTAAATGCTTTAAAAGCATTTTTTAAAAATGCTTTTAAGCATTTTTTAAAAATGCTTTTAAAATGAATTTTAAATGCTTTAAATGTGCTTCAAATCTATTACTAGTAAAACTTATTCATTTAACTGAAAGCTCGTTTTATGAGTTGGTATCTAACTTCTATCCTTTTGGCATGGATTTTGTACTGGTACAGAATTATATTTAAGCCTGATATCACTTATATGATACACTTACATGGCAGAAATTACCGGTTGTATTTTGTGGCTTTTTCAGACCTTTGCACCAATAATCTTTGCTCCCTGCCACCCTCCACACCTCCCTTTYAACAATATGAAAGAAATAACACTTAAAATAACCTGAAAGAAAGAAAGTCAAGACTGGAAACAGTGGCAGTGAAGATGCTGCAGATGTGTGCCTGGATCTGGAWTAGTTTACTAGCATGGAATCAGGAGTTTGTCTTTGGGCATGCTGGGTTTCCAAAGCCCAGGCTGAGGTGCACAGAGTGGTGTCTTCTCTGCCCAGCTGACTGACTTGCCAGGCTGCTGAGGGAAAAACACCAACCTGCCAAAAACCCAAACCCAACAAAGACAAAACAGCCAAACTGGCGCAGAAATATTATCAACACTCACACAGATAAAATAGTTTCTTTTTCCTTTCTTTTCTTTTTGTTTTCTTACCTATTTTTATTTTTTTTCGCAAAGGTTCGTCATCGGTGGTGTGAACTTGTCATTAAACACAAATACGAGCCTGGGTATGGAGATGTTGAGAGATTCCTCAGAGAGGATCAGGTAAGTTATATTTGRCTAGCCATTTTGAAAACAATCAACATTTTAACACCCTTAGGCTGAAAATAAAGACATATTTTAATATATTTTCTTGCTGCAGTTTGTCGAAAACTTGGCTGGGTATTCATTTTTTTCTTCTGTCCCCTAAACATTGTAGTTTAAGGAAGCCACATAGGGTGTGGGTATTGAACCCCATCTAGACATGCTCATCTTCTGTTAAGTGGTGAAATAGGACACAATGCCTCCTATCCTTGCATTTTGTGGAAGCCAGAGTTAGCAGTGACGCTAGGAAGATGCTTCCCAGCAGGCTCCTTTTGCAGGATGAGGAATGGCTCACTGAATGTCAGTGCATGTCGGTATGAGGTATGTGCAAAGCAGTCAGTGCTGTGGTGACTTTGACCTCAGTTTTGAAGGTGACAGCCTGAAGAAGTGCAGCACAACAGTGTGCACCCAGGGAATGCTGGCTTCTCCATGGGTAGGGACACSCTAGCAGAAGATTCTGAAGGCCTTAAAAGGCTGGACATACACGATGGCCTTTTATATAGGTCATTGTGAATTTACAATTCTAATTGTGCCTCTGCATTGTTCTTTTCTATTTCACTTTTATTTATTTTTATTCACTATGAACCCTAGGATGAATTTTAAATATTTAAAGTATATGTAAAAAATAGAAAATGGTGAAGATACGTCAAAATCTAGGCAAAATATTAATGTCCTTACCTTTTATGCTGACAATGAACAAAGCTGTTTTCAACCAATGAGGATTTTGTGCTTTCAGGCAGCAACTGAATTATTGCAGTCGGTCATGCTTTCTTCTAGCTCAGAAGTGTAGCTCCTATTTATATCTCAGCCAATAAACAGGTCCCAGAGCTCTTGGCAAGCTCTGTATTAAAACAAACAAACAAAAAAAGACATAAAAGAACATGATATTGCACATATTTATATTCTGTGATAGGATGGAGATAACCACCAGCAGAAACTGGGAGTGAGGGGTTTGGGAAATCCTTGAGTTGATAAAACCGTATAGAATTGCATTATGTTTGGAATAGATATTATGCCAAGTATGGACATTTTCTGCAGGGAAGGGAAATAATTTTTGCAACTTTTTAAKGTAATCTTCATTTAATTTACTTCAGTAGAGCATGCAGTTAGCGGCAAAGCCAGCTTCTGGCATAATTATCACTTAAATAAGAGCAGTTGCATGTCTTTGCTGAACATGAAACATGGGTTTTTTAAAAGTCTGGGAAAAAATGCAAATGGACTATTTAAATCCTTTGAAGTTCTACAAAACACCAGTGTGTTCACTGCATGTTAATTTTTAGGCCTGGGGGAGAATTATTAATGCTGAATAGAGAAGGTAATTGCTATTAGTAACCAAATTTCAACTTCTTTAAATTTTAAATGAGAGCAACTGGAGCCCAGCTCCAAAGCCATTTGTGTGGCTGCCAGACTCTGGTGCAGCTGCAAACCTTGAAAATGCGAGGTTTTGGTTCTCTTGATGTCAGAGAGCATGCTTAAGGAATTGGCAAGGAGTCTGTCAGGTTTCTGCCACTGAAACWTTTTCCTTTTACTTCAGTCTTTGTTCAAGTTTGAATTTCCCTTCTGGTTGAAGGATTTTTTTAAGGCTTRCCAGCCAATGCTAGAATTTATGAGGAATAGCACTAAAGTCAATGTTATCCAAATTTTTCCTTTCCTGCAAGTGTCCAAACAATAATGGTAAAAGTCAGCATGCTAAGCTACTAATACTTTGTCATGTGTGTAATCAGATTTTGTAAAGTTTAAAATTTTCTGAATTCTTGTAATGAGCTGAAAAAAAGTAGCATCAGAAAAAAGAAAAGGCAATCTCCAGTATGTTTCCTGTCAAGTTAGCCAATGCTTTGCTGGCAGTGGTCAAACAGGTCCAGATCTCCCCCTGCAGGAGCCCCATCTTTTTGTAGCTGCTATGTCCAGAATAAGTAGTTGGGAAAAGCCTGCCTTCATACTCAACCAGAATTTGTGCGTGTGAAGCTGTATCTCAGATGTAAAGGGCAGTCAAACAGATATGATCATATTCAATTGATATCCAGTTACAGAATTGCCTGATGGGAATTTTAGAGTGAACTCTCCAGTCTTTGTTCATGGATGTGTGTGTAAACATACCAATTGGAAAGAAAACATATATCCTAATGAAGGAAGGAGAAGCTCTCTCTTAAGGGACATTTGGAAAAAATTCAGGGAGTGTGTATAAGAAAATATTATTCAACTTGGAAAGTGGCAAGGAAATTGGAATGAGGAATTATTTTTTTTGTCATGACGTAACACAGATCTCTTATATTAATAATCTGGTTTTGCACAGTCAACACAGCATATATACAACCATCCTTAGGCTAAAAAGACACAGAAATAGTTCTTCTGGGGGCAGAATAGGCGTTAAAAAAGTATGGGGTATTTTCTGTATTTTGAGTCRTCTGTTTTGTTTCATTTTTAGTTTAAATGAATGCTAGGAGGTCAATGGCAAAAAAAAAACAGCTAACTAGTCATTACTGGTGGTAGGATGCTTGTGTGTTGTGCTCCTCTTTCAGGCTATGGGTGTGTATCTCTATGGAGAATTAATGGTGAATGAAGATGCAAAACAACAGGAACTTGCACGGAAATGCTTTGCTGCAGCACAAGAACATATGGATGCATCCTCAGCCAAAGTGGTGGCAGAGATGTTATTCTGAAGAGGTGATTTTTCATTTTAATATCAACACCCTGATTGTGCTTCATAYGGAAAGAATACGCAGTGCTCACTAAATGTGGTAAACTTTGACATACCATACAGCTTGTGGGTAMTTAGGGTGAGAAGTAACTCTTGTTACGTATCTTGTTTGCTGTTTTTTTTCTTTTCTTAAGCCCAGCTGTGGGAGCAGTGAGTTACACACGTGTAGGCATAGCTGGAGAGCATGGAGAATGGCTTTTTTGTAATGGAGTGTACAAGAGACAACTGCGAATCCAAATGGCCAGAGAGGGCCAGGCTTCACCTACAGTTGTTTTCCATTCTGTGTTCTTAACTTTACTTAAAAAAATTTCAATTGTGAAAGGAGCTTTTCTATTTAATAGAGCTGCATGTTTACTTGAGCGGCAGCAAGGTCTTTGAAAAGAGCCTGATCCCACAGTGGAAATATGAAACTGTGGACTTGGAAGCAAATATGAATCATGTGAGGTCAAGCTGATAATTCAAATGTTTTTGTGTTAACGGTATTGAGGTTTTGAAGATTGATTATAAGGTAAGAAAAGTAGGCTTAACATGAAGAAACTAGCTTATTTATTAAATTAAAGGAATGGAATTACCAGAGAAGAAGCAGAATTGCAAAAATATTCATGGAATAAAATTGCCATAGGCTATAAATTTGCAAAGATACTTTCCATTTCTTAGTCTGTTTGAGTAGTTTGAGGTGGCCTTACAGTGTCTGCACRTGTATGTTTAACATATGGTATGGAAGTTTCTTCCAGTATGGGCATATCTCAGATTTTTGATTAATAAACTCCTCCGACAGACTGATTACCTTGGTTGTTCATATTAGTTTACAGTTGATTTGTGTATCAAAATTCAGTCTTCCAATTCAGCAAAAACATCRTCATCTAATTGGTACCAAGCAGAAATCCTGTTGTAACAGTAGTTTACCATGAGTTCCACTTGATTTTGTGGTGTTTACTATGTCTGTATGAAATACTACAGCCAATGGCAGATGCTATGAAAGCAAGTATTTTGTTTATGAAAAGCCATGTTCTTCTTCTGGATGGACAAGAACTGTACCTGCCAAGAAAACTTTTTGGGAAAGGTGGATCAGACTGTAGAATGACAGGATATCAGTTCCAGGGTAGGAGAGCCACCTTTTAAAACAGTTAGGGCTAAAGACACTCTCTTGTGTGCTCCCATTTATCAAGGACTCACAGGAATTGGAATTATGTTCAACAATTCTTAATCTGGTAGGTGTCTTCGAGTGTGTGAAGGCCAGAAACATGGAGATGCAGCTTGTTCTGGTACTACTGTACTTGGAACTGTTTTCCTTCAGTTCCTTCAATAACAAAATCAAAATTTCTACAGSTTTCTGATGGTAAGTACCTAGCACAGGAGAATTACATGGTATGAAGGTGTTAACAGTAGTCTAGAATTACCCCTTTGATTTTCCAGACAGAGTGGAAGTGCATGGTGAGCTATAACATAAAATCTAAAGATACTGAGTGCAATACTCTGTGTGACTGCACAGCTTTCTTTTAATGTTGTGGCTGTTTGGGTTCCTGGCATGATGATTTGTGACTTAAGATTAAAATCACATTGCCAGGGATTACCACGCAGCCATGACCACAGCTGCTAGCATGAAACTCACCATTAACTGTCTGATGCGTGCACAGCATGGAATCCTCTCCATCTATCAAACAAACACACAATCAAACAAAAAATAACAAAAAAAAGGAAAAAAAATAAACAAAACCCCAAACACATCAAAAAAGAGGAAAGCAGCAGAGCATCGCGGAAGAACCTCCTCCGAAAACTATCTCTGCCGAGATGGAGACCTCTCTGGCGAGGTGCAGAGCTTAGCTGATTGGTGAACAGTGATTGTTTTCCTCTTTGTTCACAGTGGCTAAGTTCTGCACCTGAAGAGAAGGGAGAGGAGACTCTGTGCAGGGCAGAGAGTGTTTGCTGGCTGAGATACCTTCCTGCAAAAAGGCAGATTTGCGATGAATGCATGTGTCCAAGGTTCAGTGTATGGAGGGCAAAAGGTAGAGGCAATCTGGGGAYGACCAAAGAATTTCGTTTTAGTTGAGAATAAACTTAAGCTACTTAAGTTCTCAGTCTGACTGCAAATGTGAGGTATTGCCTGCAGTAATTTGGTTACAGTGCTTTCCTAAAGGTCAGAAAAAATAATGTTTGTGACTTTAACCTGAAATTGTCAATAAAGCTTTTGTTTTATAGTCTGTAATGGATGCTGTCATGATCTCTCTGCAGTTGTAGCTTAGCCCTGTGTGTCGTTTGCAGGAAATGGTGGCAGCTCCAGTCGGAAACAACTTACAGCTGCTGCTGTTGTTCCAGGCTGTTGATGGACCCGTCCTCCGGTGCCTACTGAGCTGATATCAGTTCTGATTTTACACACTGGCTCAGTTCAGCAGGAACAGGAGTCGAGCCCTAGAGCAAAAAAAAAGATGTACCTTTCCTAAGAGCCTTTGAGAAATGTTGCTGTTTTCTCTCAAAAATGAATCAGTGCACATTATGATGTCCTGATGTTAAATAAATGGCCTAAAGTGGAAAAGCTACCTCAGTACTGTTAAGAGGACTGTTGGCTAAAGATGAGAAGGTATGTGGATATGTAGCAMATCACATGGTATTGCTCTGGTAACTTGCCTCCAACATTATTTTCAGAGTAACCTGCTAATAACCGACAGAATGTGCTTCCACTGTGGATCTTCCCTGTCTTYTCCAGACCTTGTTATGGTAGCTCTAGGAAGCTAAAGAAATCATTGTTAACTCTGTAACTTCAGTTACACTCAGCTGGCAACCTAAAAATAACAATTTGGAAAGCTGGGGCAATCAAGAAAGCACAGATATTCCTTTATTGTGACAGAGTAATAACTTTAAATGCTGTTTCCGTTGCAGGAAAGATCACAGAGAAACTCTTTTAATAGATCTTCTACTATACCCCGATGGTGCTAGGATTTCATTGACCCAGGACATCAAAGGAAGGATTATGTGACTGCTAAAACAATCAGCTGACAGAAATATTTACCTTTCTGTATTTCTAGAGGCTCACTGTAACTGAGAACACAAGCACACAACACAAACAACACRTACACATATGACTCCTGCCTCAGGTAATTCTTTGATGCAAGAAGTTTGGGGTTTATCCTTGTTGTTTGGTATTACAATAATTCCATTTTGCAGATGCCAAAGACCCTTGACTTAAACAACTTTACTAATTTGGGCATTCTGAAAATTGTTGAAACTGCAATGTGTATTATTTTGTTTGTAACTTCTATGTCATATTAAAAAAAAAAAAACCTCAATATAAAATCAGCCGGGGCTGGGGTGGAGCTCATGATGTTTGACAGAAGCAGAAATAAACTGTGGAAGGATACCTGCCATCATCCTGGTCTTGGTATGGGACTGAAGAAAAAACAAAAATCAGAATTCTTTCTCTGTCATGTTTACATTAATTTTTACCAGAAATGTCAGACCTTTCATTTTCTGAAACTGTCTTTCATACCCTTGTGATGCTCCTTTTGCACAGAGCTATGTCAAGTGCATTTCTTCTTTCTTGATCAGTGAAGCACTACATTTCTAGAAGATATTTTCATTGTTTCTTTCAGAGAGTAAGAATTTAAAACACAAAAATCTGTGAATTTACTTCCCTTGTACGCTGCTGTTTTACATCAAATCCTCTTGTAAAAATAAATATTTTTTTCAAATACATATAGTCTTCCCATTGCACAGTGGTTCAACATAAATTTACAAACTTGGGAAAAATAATTACTTCATTTCTACTTTTGCAGCAGGAGAAAAGCACCTGGCAGTCATTAGTTAATGGATGTTAACAAGAAAAAATAAATGTGGTCATTCTTTTTAAAGTTCTAGTGCTCACAATCTAAAGTAAAAGCCTGCCTCAACAGTGACTTCMGTACAAAGAGTACAGTTCCTTTTCACCTCCCCACCTTTTCTGATTCCGCCTTTGCAGGCATACTGTGTCAAAATCTGAATTAGGGGACACTCAGCGACTTCTTTCAAATGCAACAAGAGTTAGGAAATTGTCCAAGAACATGCTGAGACACCACAATGGCTTCTGTAGTGACACTCACAGATGTAGTTATTGCAGGATCCCATTCATAAGAGGGCTACGCTTCATTTCACAGGTTTTTCTGCAAAGGCCAGCAAAGGAAACCAGCTTGCTTTTTGTCTTTTCCATTGTGTAAGGAAAAAAATGCAGAGCTGGGTAAGAGTCTTGCACAAAACATGCAGAAATTAAATACATTATAAGCCTCTTCATATCCAATACTGTTAAAACTATGGGGCAAGTAAAATACTCCAAACCTTTTAAAATATCACCAAATTTTTCTTCTTTCAAAACAATATAGTTGCCTCTTTTTTTAAATATAGAGTGTAGGGGTTTATTTTGTTTGCTAGAGCTCTTCCAGTCTGTTTTAGCAGTATGAACTTACACATTTCCCCTCACTACAACTTCATGATCTATCATGCATAGTAGCAACTGAGACAATGAACAGAAAATAAAACACAAACAACCTAAAAAAAAAAATTAAATAAAATAAAACATCAAAAACAACCTAAAAAATGGCAAAGAGGTGGCAATCCTGGCCCTTTTTCTGGGTTTATTTGTTGGCCTTTTGTGGCTAATCCAACATTGTGAAATAGAGTGAGAGTCCAGGTTAAGAAGCTAAAGGTGGTGTTGAACAGTTACTGTCACCATAATGCATCAGAGAGGAGACTCATAGTGGGATCATTAACATCATATAAGCATTACCCTTATTTTGAAATTCTTCTGAATCATGTAAAAAGCACTGGAAGTGAACCATATAATTATTTACAGACCTACAGAATAAGCCCAGTTGGAAGGGACCCACAAAGATTATTGAGTTCAGCTCCTGGCCCTGCACAGCACCATCCCTWAGTCCCACCCAGTGCCTGAGAGCATTGTCCAAACACTTCCTGAACTCTGTCAGGCTGTGCTGTGAYCACTGCCCTGGGGACCCTGTTCCAGTGCCCARCCACCCTCTGGTGGAAGAACCTTTTCCTGATATCCAACCTAAACYTCCCCTGACACAACTTCAGGCCATTCCCTTGGGTCCTGTCACTGTCACCACAGAGGAGAGATCAGAGCCTGCCCCTCTTCTTCCCCCCATGAGAAGCTGTAACTGCAATGAGGTCTCTCCTCAGTCTCCTCCAGGCTGAACAGACCAAGTGACCTCAGCTACTCCTCTTACAGCTTCTCATCAAGGCCCTTCTCACCATCTTTGTTGCTCTCCTGTGAATGCTCTGTAACAGTTTAATGTCTTTCTCACATTGTGTCCCCCCAGTCTGCCCCCATCCCTGCAGTGAGGCCGCCCCAGGTCAGAGCAGAGCGGGACAATCCCCTCCCGTGCCCGGCTGTGATGCTGTGCCTGATGCCCCCCAGGACACGCTTGGCCCTCCTGGCTGCCAGGGCACAATGGCTCAGATTCACCTTGAGAGGAGCCCCAGGTCCCTTTCCATGGCTCTGCTCTCCAGGGTCTCACTCCCCAGTCTGTCTGTCCATCCAGGGCTGCCCTGTCCCAGTGCAGAATCGGCACTTTCTCCTGTTCAGTTTCATGGGGTTGGTGATTGCCCCGACCCCTGATTTATCGAGGGCTCTCTGTGGGGCCTCCCTGCCCTCGAGGGAGCCAACAGCTCCTCCCAGTTTTTTATCAGCTGTGACCTTGCTCAGTGTCCCTTCCAGTCCTGTGTCCAGGTCATTTATGGAGGTGTTGAAGGGCAGGGGCCGAGGATGGGGCCCTGTGGAACCCCACAGTGACAGATCCCCAGTCTGATGTCACCCCATTCACTGTAACCCTTTGTCCCTGTCCCCTGAGCCGCTGCTCACCCATCACACGATGTGTTTATCCAGCTGTGCTGGACACTGCATCCAGAAGGATCCGGTGACACAGTGTCAAAAACATTACTGAAATCCTAAAAGATCACATCAGCTGGCTTCCCTTGATCAGCTGGGTGGGACACCTTGTCAGAAAAGGACATCAGGTTTGATAAGCAGGACTTTCCTCTCTAAACTCTKCTGGCTGTGACCAATGACTGATTTGTCTTTCAGGTGTTTTTCAGCCCCCCCAGAATAATCTGCACACCTTTACCAGGCACTRAAGAGAGACTGRCAGGCCRGTAGTTTCCAAGCTCCTTCTTGCCCTTCCTGAAAATTGGCACATTTGCCAGCTTCCAGCCAGCTGGGACCTCTGGATTCCCAAGACCACTCAAAAGAGACATTCTGTGATGACATAAGACAGCTCTTTGAGGATTCTTGGATTCATCCTATCAGCCCCATAGATTTGTAGGGATCCACCTGGAGCAGCAGATCCTGCATGTGTAAGATTTTAATAGGCTCTATCAAAAGCCTAACAGAAAAAAAACAACAAACCACCAATATTATTGTTCATTTTATTCACTGTTCTCTCAAAGTGGCTATTTATATATTGAATTCCTGAGAGAAGGAAGTTGTAGAAACTAATTATAGTAAATGAACAACAAAAAAATGTATTTCCAAACTTACTGTAACTAAATCATTACTGGAAGTGATGTTGTTTCAAATGATACCTCCCTCCAAGAGACAAACTCAATCTCTGTKGGATCCTTCCAGTTCAATGTRTTTTGTGATTGCACCTGGCCATGACAACATCTGTATAGGAATGCCTTTGCCTTTAGGTTTCATTCTACTTCTGTTTCATAGGCAGCCCTCTCTGAATAAAAATACAGCATTTTGTAAGGTRCTTTTTTTTCTTTTCCATCTCTAATTCAGTCCTTTCCAAATGCAGTGGYAGTTTTGCTCTGAATAGCATTAAAAGTCCAGTGCTGGACTATCTCCCACTTACTTCATCAGGCCAGTATCTGGTTAGGATCTCAGTGATTCTATTCTGCATATAGCTTTTAACTATGAAAAATTAGATGAAAAATTAAAACTGTACCCATATARTTAAGCAAGGATCACCATCTACTTTCTCATGCCACTTACTGGGTCACTTCTTCAGAGTAAAGGCAGACCATAGTGAAGGGGTGACTGGGCGAGTCGCTTGGCCCCTCAGTGGTGATGCATTCTTTGTACAATTTCTGTTGAAAGTACAGAGTAAAACACACCCTTCTGCTGGCAGCTGTTTTCTGTCTGCAGCTTTGCTGGGAGGTGTTTGCAAGCTGCTGCTGTCTGTGCTTTCTTCTTTAGGAGGGAATTAGCTGTACCCTATTGCCCATGCCTTGCACACAATAGGGAAGGAAAAAGCTCTGGAAACAAAGTTCTTACCAGAAAAGCAGCCTGAGCAAGTGGACAGCTTGAGGAAACAAGTAGGGATAAGGAGYCTAAGGATTTCTGACTTGTAAAAAGCGCTATGAAAAAGGATATTAATAAAACAAAACAAAACAAAACAGTTTTATAGAGCATTAAAACATATCGTGTAGAGTACTGAAGYGAGCCAGTTCATCTCCACAATTGATTAAATCTTGAGAACTGATATTTGTATTACAGAAAATTTRAGATTTTAGTTTGCGGGCTCCTCTGCATACAGAGGGGGGAAACCCTGGTGCCTTTATGAGAATGAACAAGCAGCTAAGTTACCATGTGCCATTATGTGTCAAAGACTCTGTTARGGGTTGATTCTTTCCATGCAAAACCTGGACTGTAAATATCTGGAGAAGCCACGCATTCCCTGCAGGCTAGTGCTAGCTGGTGCCTGTGCATGCTGCAGCAGGTCTCAGTTTCACTACACATGATTTAAGAGTATATGAATTATCTAAAGCCATTCAAATTTTTACCTGTAATTTAATGGCATTTTACTTTGAAAAAAACTCACATAATAATGTACTTCTAAGGTAAAACTAATATTTTAAATAAGCCCTCACACTGAGCACAAAACCATATTCTAATTCAAATGAAAACCCTATTCCACAATACTAATTCTTAATATCTAAAGAAGAAAAATTAATATATGTTGCGGTCTTTTTAATGTATCTTGTGGTCTTTTTAAGCTATAAAATATCTACCTTTGTGCTACAGTTCATGGTATTCATGAGTCATGTTTGATGTCTTCTCTAACAGGCAAAGATTTCAACAGACACCTAAGTGCATTTCTGTTCTTGGCCTCAATCTCTGATGCCCAAACTAGTCAGGGGAAAAAAATGGCAAGAAAGGACAAGGAAGCAATCAAATAAAGGAGTCTGACTCATRTAGAATTTCAGCACAAGTATACTGAACTCACAGAAAATATGAAGTGAGCATATACACCCTATGGCTTTATTTCCTTTATTTCTGTGGGCAGAATGTAGTGGAAAATTATTTTAAAATCTTACCCTGCTGCCAGGCTTACCTTTTATGTGAGTGAAATATGCCAGTGCTTGAAGAAATTGAGACATTTGCACAGTCCTTAGGAAATTAACTGCATTTGTCTGTATGCTGTGATTTACACTAAGTGYGTATTTTCTGCACAAAATTATAGTCCAGGTTCTTGCTGCTTATAGCTGCCAGAAGGCACTTGCTCTGTTATCTGAAAGCATGCAGAAATTACAATTCTGTAAAAATTTGCTTTTTCATGACAATTTGCACATCAGAAGACCACYACTTTGTATTAGCACAGTAGCCCAGCAGCGATGCCCACAGTAGCACCTGTGACAGCCTGTGCTCACTGCCCCATTGCAGAGATGACGCTCTGCTGTGCCCTCACATCCCCCTGAGC